ATGAAAATAAAAATAATCCAAATGAATAAACAAATAAATAAAATATTGTAATATGTGGATGCCCCCAGATTGTGGAGGCCCCTGGGCAGCTGCCCACTTTGCCCACTCCTGAATCCGGCCCTGTGCCGTTTCCTCAGTGCCACAAATATTTCAACTTACAATGATCCAATCACGATAGTTTCGACTTTAATTTAAAACCAATATATATTGTATTTTTCTAACAGCGTGACAGTATGTGTTCAATATGTTTGACCAGAACTGTGAACTCGTCCATTATGAAAAGTAATTCTAAAGCACCCTGTCTAGTACTGCTACTTTTTTTTAATGTGGCCTCCAGCCTCCCCCAATCGCCACACCTTCGCCACCATTTTATTACCTTAATATGAAATATCCTAATACAAAAGTAGTTACCCTCGGTGAGTTAGTGAAACTTCATATCTATGCGGCATTCAGTGACTCACCATCCAATGGAAGGAGGGTCAGTTCCATCGTGATGTCATGGCAGATTTCCTTCAGTATATTTGCCTCATGGTCAATATCTGCTACCGTTGTCGGGGTTGAGGCCAAAGATTTCATTCCCCTAAGGCAAAGCAATGAGACCAAAGCAGAGAAAAGGACAATCGACATCTCAACCAGGCTGTAACGTGGTTTCCAGCCTCCCCCAATAACGACATCTTCCTAACCATTTTATTACATTAATATTAAATATCATAATACAGTAATGTAGCCACACTAACTGAGTTAGTGAAGCCACAGTTCTATGCGGCATTCAGTGACTGTTGCCTCGTAGTCAATATCTGCGACCGTAGTAGGTTTGGGACCGACGATCTCGTTCCCCTGAGGCAAAGCAATGCAATAGCTAAGCAGAGAGGAGGACAGTCGACTTCTCAACCAGGCTGCAACGTGGCTTCTGGGTTGCTGCTTCTGCTCAGACAACACCTCCGCCAGTCTAGCGGAGAGGCGTCTTTCACTTGTGAAAACCAGAGGAGTGAAACTGCTCTAATAGACATTCTGATTTCTCTCCGCTATGCCCGAATCTTTTTTTTTCTCGTTCGTCTTGTGTGCAGCCTCAAGAGACAAGTTACAGTGACATGCGGCCATGGGGTCGAATATCCTGACATCAAAGAAGGCTCGTTGTCCCCGCGTTCAGAATCCTCGAGCGCTGACGTCTACACGGGGGCTTCGTTGGATGTGTTGGATGTCCTGTGATTGAGGTTCTCACCGTCCGATGGAAGGAGGATCGGTTCCATCGTTAAGTCTTGGCAGATTTCCTTCAGTAAATTTGCTGTCAGATCTCTTACTTCGTCATATCTCATACAAACGAAGCCCCCTTTCCTGCACACCATGCCGTGGTCAACGTCGTAGGATGAACCACGCACACATTGGGAGGGCAAACCTTCTACTGGCCAGCCGTACCTTAGAGCAAGGGCACCTGTGAATTCTTATTTATTAAGGCTAAAACTTTTTGCCCTGAGGGGAACGTTGTTAGCCAGTTCGAGGCGCCCACCTCCTGCGCTACAGCTCCTTTTTTTCAAGTTCTCTGGAAATTGCAGCAACTGTTGTTGCAGTTTATCACTTTCGGTGTGCTGTCGTTCTGTCATATTGGGTCATCGAATCTTGTTTAAATGATTGGTATCCATCTCACTTGTTGCATTCTGAGCTATTATGTGCTCAGTGAGGCCGCCATGAGCTTGACCGAGTTCTGATGTTCGGTTGCAACAAGATCCTCTAGATTGGTCATACCCATTACTCCAAGTCTCGGTGGTAATGCACATGTGGAGGGCTCCATCTACTGCGGGAGGGGCGGAGGCAGCGTCTTTCCGGCGTTGGCGCTTGTCTACCTCGGTTTGCAGTCAGGCTAACTCGAAAGAATTGACACCTTCTCGTGTGATGCTCCTCCAAGCGTTACAGCCCCCTCCCAGGTGAGGGGGTCGATTTGGCACTTTTTCAGGTTTGTCTTAAGACTATCCTTATACCTTTTCAGTTGCCCACCAGGGTTACGTTTACTCTTCGTTAGGTGACTGTAAAGTAGCTTCTTTGGCAGTCTACTGTCGTCCATGCAGGTAACATGGCCACTCCAACGTAGTTGTTCATGGATAAAGGTAGCCTCGATGCTCCTACAGTTGGTGTCAGCAGGAATTCTGGCTTTTGCTTACAAACACATACTCACACACACACATACACACGTCAGTGAAGTTATCAAATCCTCCAGTTTCCGTCTCCACCTCCTCCGCCGACTCAAGTCCCTCGGAGTTCCTGCACACGAGCTCCTCAGTGTTTACACAACATTCATACTTCCCAAGCTCACCTATGCCTCCCCCACCTGGTCTCCCTCCCAAAATGCCACACAACGTAAACACCTAGAAAAAGTGCAAAAGAGGGCATGCAAGATTATTCTCTCCCCTTCCTACTCCACATATCAAGAAGCGCTCAACACACTGACCCTTTCGACTCTCACTGACCATCACCACCACCTCATCTGCAAATTTGGTAAGAAGCTTCTACACCATCCCCGACACCGGCTCCTACTACCACCTGAGATCGCTAGTCCGAGAATTGCTGTTCGACACCACAACCGCATCCAGCCCATACGTGCACGAACTGATCGCTATAAGAACAGCCCAGTCCCAACCATTGTAAAAATTATCAATAACTTGTAATAAATCAGTGTATTCACTCCCAGTAAACACTACTCCTTGCACTGTCACTATGTTGAAATGAACTGTAGTTTGAGCTTTTCCCCATCTAGTTATTATATGTCTTATTTGTGTCACTTATGTTACTTGTATATTATTTTGTAATTCGTAACCCATTCCCCAAATATGTAACTGTATATTTTCAGCCTTCTGGCTGCCAAGCTCTTTCAATAAACCGTTAATTATTATTATTATTATTATTACACACACACACACACACACACACACACACACACACACATCATCGCCACCTCCTGCCACCTGCAGCCCCCCACCCAACTCGCGCAGTCCGCCACTACAACAAAATACAGCCCATAATAGCCCGCACCGATAGATATAAGAACAGCACCATCCCATCTAGTGTTAAAATAATAAACAACTCCTGATTTATGTACTGTACAGCCCTGTAAATGCATTCAATGCATATTATATCATTATGTCTAAATCAAATGTAAGTCTGTATATTTTCAGCCACCGGCTGCAACTCTATTAATAAACCGTTTATTATTATTATTTACACACGTACACCACACACACCTACACACACACACCTACACACACACACACACACCTACACACACACACACACACACACACACACACACCTATACACACACCACACACACACACACACACACACACCACACACACACACACACACACACAGACATACACACACACACACACACACACACACATACACACACACACACACACATACACACATACACACACACACACACACACACACACACACACACACACACACATACACACACACACATACACACACACACACACACACACACACACACATACACACACACACACATACACACACACACATACAACACACACACACACACATACACACACATATACAAACACACACACACATACACACACACACACATACACACACACACATATACACAAACACATACACACACACACTACTTTGCCATCACTCGGAATCGGGTATATCGAGTATGTCGATCATCCAGCTTTGTTACAATAATCATATGAGTTATAATACATGTCACCCTTGTTGGTGATCTCTGAGGTGACTCAAGAGGTTCGATTCGGGACCGGAAAGATCGTCGACAGATGTTGCACATATGGAGGACTACATCTAGAGCGGAAGGGACGGCGGTAGTGTCTTAACGGCGTTGGCGCTTGTCTGCCTCGGTATGCAATCGGGCCAACTCGAAAGTATTGACCCTTCTTGTGTAGTGCTCCCCCAAGCATTACGGTGTGAAGTGATCGTCTCCCAGGTGAGAGGGTTGATTTGGCACCCAAGACTATCCTTTTAACTTCTCCGTTGCCCGCCAGCATTAAGTTTATCATTTATTAGGTGATTGTAAAGTAGCTGTTTTGGCAGTCTACTGTCGTCCATGCGGGTAACATGGCCAGTCCAGCGTAATTGTTCATGGATAATGGTAGCCTGGATGCTCCTACAGTTGGTGTCAGCGAGAATACTGACATCTGTTTTCTTGTTTTCCCAGCGAACTCGGAGGATGGAATGTAGACTACGTTGGTGAAAGGTTTCAAGTGCTTTGAGATGCCTCCTGTATGTGAGCCATGTCCCACTGCCATACTGTATAGCAGGGTGGGGAGGACCACTGCTCGATATACGTGTAACTTTGTAGATAATTTCAGCTCCCTACAGCTGAAGACACGGTTTCGGAGTCTGCCAAAGGCCTGAGATGCACATCTGATCCGATGCTGAATCTTTTCATTGATGTCCGCGGTGGTGGACAGGTGGGAGCCGAGATACCGAAAGTGGGTAACATTAGAGAGGGCAGTACCGTTAAGATGGATGGATGGATGATGGAGGTATATCTGAACCAGGGGCAGGTTGAAAGAAAATCCGAGTCTTACGTACATTCACCTCAAGGCCGAAGTGTGCATGCACATCTGTGTAGGTGTTGAGGATCTCTTGTAGGACGCGTTCAGTGTGAGCAACAAGAGTGGGGTCGTCTGCATGCTGACGTTCAGTAATGGAAGATGCCGACACCTTTGTTCTTGCCTGAAGTCGTCTTACGTTGAAAAGACACTTCATCCGGTACTCGAAGTCCACCCCACCGGCTAAGTTGGCACTGGCACGAGTAAGGAAGGCAGCCAAGAAATGGAAAAGAGAGTTGGTGCCAGTACACACCCTTCTTTAAACATCGTTTGGGTGGGGAAGAACTCAGACTGGGTACCATTGTGCAGGACACTGCTGTTCATGCCATCGTTGAGTTGCTTCACAATGGCGATGAATTTAGGGTGGGGGGGGGGGTGTCAGCCAAAGCGGCTGAGGGTTTACCAGAGCGCTTCCCTATTGACCAAGTCGAAGGCCTTAGTTACGTCGATGAAAGCCGTGTACAAGTCACGACGCTGTTCTCTGCACTGTTCCTGTTTCTGTAGGGCAGCAATAATCATGTCAGTGGTGCCACATGATGGTCTCAGGCCAAATTGAGATTCTGGGAGGAAGATTTCGTGTTAGGAAGAGGTCTGTTTAGGAGGACTTGGTCAATAATGTTGCCAGCTACTGACAGCAGCGAGATCCCGCGGATTCAGTGTTGGGGCATATACACTGATGAAGAAGGTATGTCGTGAATGATTCAGTGGGACTTGGAGCGTCATGAGGCGCTCGTTGATCCCAATAGGCATTTCAGTTAGCCTGTGTAGGATGCGTTGGCCGATGGCAAAGCCAACTTCATATATGCAGTTTCTCTCCGCAGCAGGCTTACCCTTCCGGAAGAAGGTACAACCAGACCCCTGTTCTGCGAGTTGACCCTCATCTGGGAGCCGGAACTCACTAATGGCTGCTATGTCGATGTAATACCTAGCCAGCACTTTTGCCAGAAGGGCAGTTCTTCTTTCAGGACGCTCATTTGTGCCAGTATCCAGAAGGGTTCTGTCATTCCAAATAGCAACCATAAGAGGTGTATAGTTTGTTTTTGTTTGGATCTGTGATATTGATTGTGTTTTCGACCGCATCAAGATGACCTTACTTGGTGCTGCTACCCAGTCTGTTTTTTTGTTTTTTAGGCAGGCTATGTTTAGAGCACCTTTTATAGTCCCCTCCCTATGTGGGGTGAGCAGAGTGGCTCATGGAAAGGGCTGCTCAGTCGCAGAGACAGGACCGGATTGCACTGCTGTCTAAATCCCAGTGCATAAACGACCATCATATCTAATCGCCAATGTGCAGAGTTGTGACTAGAGACTCCCCGCAGTCACCTCCGCCTGTCCCGTCGCCACTCATCTGTAGCCATAGGACTTTTGGGAGGATAGCTGTTTTAATAAGGATAAATATGATGAGCTGGATGACAGCTGCTCATGGCTTGAGCAGGAGCGCAAGCTGCAACCACACATCTTGGTTCTCCCTTTTCCTGATCTAGTGGTGCAGGTAGTTGCAACAACTGGGGAGAGGGAGAGTTGCAATCACGGACGGCTCGAAGCGGTTGTGATTGGGGAGGGGTTTTTTTTGGGGGGGGAGGGGCAACTCGCCACTCAGCCTATCAAATTTGACCGACTAATTAGGCTTAAAAAATGACTAAGAGAGCTACAAAATTTTCTTTATTGAATGTTTAAGTATTAGATATTAGCATAGAAATTTGATGGTTAAAGTAAAATATTTATTCAGATAGAAAAAGAAAAGAAAAAAAGATATATTAAATTTTAATTCCCATAGTTTTCTTAAGGGTGCAATTTTATGCAATCTTTGAAGATTTAACTGATCAGTTATGTCATTTTCACAAGCTATGATAATAGATTATTCAACCGTTTTCCGAAATTTTCTTTTGCAGGGATGTTTTTAAAAGCTAAAGCCTGCTAAAAGACCTTTCACCTTTATATACTGAAGGTGGTGCTGTCTAGAATAACCTGAAAACTTTTGCCACATGAGAAAATAAATGATACTTTCTATGAGCATTCAGTGCACATTCTGCAGCTGAGCGAATGTTTTTTTTCTACACCAGGATGCTGCTCCATATAATCAGAAATATGAATGTTGAACACATCTAATGCAACTCGGAAAGATTTAGTGTCAGGTAATTCAGATGGATAGATTTCTGGCAGATTTTTCATGGCTTCAATAAAGCTTTCTGAGTCATAGTCTGTAACATTAGGATCAAGAACATCTACAGAATATTTGAATGAAGATATCAGATTTTCACATTTTGAAGTCAACACAGAAATCAGCATATCTAAAACTGAATTCATTTCCTTACAATAATAGGAATACAAATTATACTTATCACTGGAGTTTGGATGATCATTTTTTATTTTTTTTTGGCTGCTTCCTTTGATGGTGAACTCTTTTGGACTCTTCTTCTCCATCAAAATCAATATTTTTCCTAAGCTGAGTGCAGCCTCCAGCAAATGTTTGTGAGCTTCATCATCACTTCGTATTGACTGAAGTATTTTGAATGTACTGTGTTACCTCTTGTTACCTGTGTGTGTGTGTGTGTGTCCTTTCTTGACCATCTCCCTAAATGTTTTTAGATCATTGCGACCCACTTCTGACCAATTCGAGACCAATCATTGAAGGAGACCCCTCCCACGGTCGGGCCATACCTGGTTGCAATGGAATGCTGATAGCCCAGTTTGTTAGGTTTCACCTTAGTAGCCTTTCCATCTTGCATTGCCTTCATCCGCCGGTGTAGTCATTGGGTTCCCATATTGGTCACTGCTTCCGCCTACACCGACGTTGGAGCTCTCTGAGCATGTCTCCCTGATGCGTGGCTGCACCACAAATTTTTCGAACGGGGTTTACTCCCATAGCCTTATACCTACCAAGGTTGCTTTTCAAGGCAGTGATTGGCAGGTGCCATGACTTGTCCACATGCCAGTGAGCCTATGTGCCTTCCCTCTGGGTTCCACTGCTGCTCCGAGATCCCCTGCTGGTCTAGCCTGGGACCACGAGGCACCCAGTTACTGTGTGTTGCCACGAGGAGGTGCAGCAGGAGTCTTCATGGTGAAAACGTTGTGTACTGGCAGGGGAAGACTTAAGTAAGGTTGTTTCCCTGTTCATCACGAGGGTTAGCCAGTGGCAGTAGCTGAAAGCGAGAGGAAGCAAGCAATGCTTACACATAATGCTGCTACAATAGTGCTTTACACCACCCTGTGTGTGCGCGCAAACACACACACACACACACACACACACACACACACACACACACACACACAATACAATACAATACATCCTTGACCACCACCGGAGGGTCAAGACCTATCGGGCGCCCTCTCCTGCTGCGGTAGCTGCCCCCGGCCAATGTTCGGCTCATTCCCCCAAGTCCTTTCCTCGACCCATGCTCACCAAAGGGATATCAACATAATCCTGTCAAAAAAGACAATTTCGTTGAACAGTGTTGAACAGTGTTTAAGCCACTAAAATCAGCACTAGACAGTACCAGTGAGAGCCGTGACCCACCAGTGTGATAAGTACCCCTAGGAACCGACCACCATCTTCTGACCAGGAGGTGCTAATCAGTCCACCATGGGAACAACAGTGGGTCAGCTTTACACCTGACTACGAGATAACACAACACCACCTAGCAGAGTGTGGGGTACTGTGACACCACGCCTCTTCCCACCACCCGGTGTCCCCATGACCACGTAAGGTCCTTCATATCAACACCCGAGGACGAGTTAATACACCACGTGAACACCACACCACCCGGTGTCTCCATGACCACGTGAGGTCCTTCGTATCAACACCCGAGGACGAGTTACTACACCACGTGAATAATGGTTGCCCCTCGTGTAAAGAGGACGGCCGGCACCAAGGGCCACCTAGGCGTGAATTTGTTTAAGGTTAACGAGTTGTATGACCCAGTGTCAAGGAAAAGTCAGAGAAGACCGGACAACTCGCCAACTGCACTGGCTAACCATTACCCCGGAATACGATCCGCAAATTGATTAACATCCAGGTCCCAATTACTGCTGGGTAGACAGAGGCAAATGGCATAAAGAAACTTGTCCATAGTTTCACCCTGCCCGAGGATCGAACGTGGGTCCGCTCGCTTGCCAGGCGAGAGTGCTGACCATTACACCACAGATCGACGTAAATACCACACCACGCAAACACCACACCACGCGAACACCACACCACGCGAACACCACACCACGCAAACACCACACCACGCAAACACCACACCACGCAAATACCACACCACGCAAATACCACACCACCTGGTGTCTATACCACGTGAGGTCTTTCATGTCAACACCCGAGGACGAGTCATACACCATGTGGCCTACGTGACCTCACACAGTATGGCAAGAGACCAGCCCGGACCATCAACTGCAAACAATAATAATTTGTATGTTCAATTCATGTTCCTTCTCCTTTTAGTAATGAAAGCCTTTGTTAAACAAATCGCCTATCCCATGACTTTGTAGGTAATAAGTCATTTTTGTTTAATGCATATTTTCAGCATTTAGGCTGCTGAACTTTTTTCAATAAACCGTTAATTATTATTATTATTACTATTATTATTATTATTATTATTATTTTTATTTATTACACACACACACACACACACACACACACACACACACACACACACACACACCACGACAAATTGACCTTCTTTTTTGCGTGATTTATGAGAACGACGTGTGCCTAAAGTGCGTCTTGGTAGGTAGGTAGGTGTGTGTGTGTTGGAGTGAAGATGATGGGGTGCTGTGTGTGTGTGTGCGGGGTGATGGGATTGGGGTGATGTGTGTGTGTGTGTGTGTGTGTGTGTGTGCTGGAGTGAGGGTTATGGGATGTGTGTGTGTGTGCTGTGGTGACGATGTTGGGTATTGTGTTTATCGAGAGAGAGAGAGAGAGAGAGAGAGAGAGAGAGAGAGAGATTCCCTAGACAAACATTTATCATAAGCTTAATGTTTGGGTCGCCGCTACAGTTTATTGGGACATTGCCTAAAGTCATTTGTCAGAGTGAAGAATGCGGTTAGCGGAGTGAGGATGCCGACCTAGGCCATGAGATTAATGGTTCTCCATCACACACACACACACACACACACACACACACACACACACACACACACACACACACACACACACACACGCACGCATATGAACGGATAAATCAACAACTGAATAGACAGAGAATTTATATAGGATATAGAGATATATTAAATAATAGAAATACATAGATGGACCTGAAATAGAAGGACAGAGACAGTTTGATTAATAGCTAGATGAACAAAAATGTAAAAAAAAATAGATGGATAGATAAATATATACAAACATTGATTGATGCTTAGATACATGGATAAATATATGAGCATATAGAAAGATAAATAAATAGATATATAATTAAATATATTGATAAATAGATGCTTTACGAATAGCTTCTCTCTCTCTCTGTCTCTCACTCTCACTCTCTCTCTCTCTCTCTCTCTCTCTCTCTCTGTCTCTCTCTCTCTCTCTCTCTCTCTCTCTCTCTCTCTCTCTCTCTCTCTCTCTCTCTCTCTCTCTCTCTCTCTCTCTCTCTCTCTCTCTCTCTCTCTCTCTCTCTCTCTCTCTCTCTCTCTCTCTCTCTATGGAGCGGTGAGAGGCTCGACCCCTCACTTGCACCATCACTTCTCAACTCTCGGGATAACATAATCCTTCAGCCAGGACGTGAGGGGCAACACAATGTTATGATAGGGGTTCTCTCTCATCTCCCTCTTTACTTCTATAGTTATACTTGGTGTTTGTATGTCCTGTCTCTCTTCTCAGACACGTTTCCTCCTCTTGTTGGCAGTAAAGCAGATGTAAGTTGTGTAGGTTATGGCATAGGGTCGTTCTATGTGTGTGTGTGTGTGGCGCTGAGTAAGCACAGTAAAGTGACAATTCTGTCTTTCCCTGTCGACTCAATTGGCTCTGTATCCCTTCCCCATCCAGTACTGTGAGCTGACAACAGACCAGGACACCGAGTGCTGTGTCTGCTGTCTTGGGTATTGGTTGTATTACCTTCACCATTTAGTGGTGTGGGCTAACGACACACTGGGAGGCGTTCTGGAGAAGGAGGGGGATTGGTTCCATGTCATGTTTAATGGTTGTTCCCCCTTCGCTTTGTAGTGGTGTGAGGTAACGACACACTAAGATACTCTCCTGGGGGATGGGAAGGGGGGGGGAGTTCCATGTCGTGTTTAATGTGTGTGTTTTCGATCCCACCAAAAGTGGTGTGGGTTTATGATACACGAGGATGAGTTCTAGAGTTAGTTCTATGGCTGTTTCTCCTCTCCCCTCGTAAGTATTGTGAGCTAACGACACACTACAATGTATTTGGATGGATTTTTTGTAGTGAATTAATGGTGGTGTTTTCTCTCATCTACTGTAGTGTTGTGAGTTTACGTCACACTACAGCTTATTATCACGTGTCTTCTTTCTGTTTTTGATTGGGTTACCTCTGACCAACTGCTGCTGTGAGACAACGACACACGAGAATGAGGTCTAGGGAGGTGTTCCCTGTCGTGTCTAATGGTTGTCTTTCCCTTCCCCGTGTGGTGTTGTGAACTACCGACACACTAGGATGTGAGGGTTGGGTTCCCTGTCGTGTCTAATGATTGTGTCTTCCCCTCCCCATGTAGTGATGTAATTTTACGACACACTAAAATTCATGTATATGTCCCAGGCTGTAACTGTTAATTGTGTAACATCATTTCTAGTGTTGGGAGCTTACCACACACAATAACTCGTACTATTATGATTCCTTATTTCTGTTGGATAATTTTCGTTTATGTCTACAGTAGTGTTTGAGTTCACGATACAAGACTTTTAAGTTGAGATGAACCACATGTCATAGTTGGTGCTGTGAGCTGAGAGGGTATTTTCTGACGTCTGTTGTCCTCACTAGTAGCGGTGTCCTCTGTCCTCGTCTCCGTGATGTGACGACATAATATGTTCGTGTCCCTGTAGGATGCTCTGAGCTTACGACACATCACTATTATGTTGTAATAGCGTTGTACTCCCATACCCATCTTGTATGGGCCCATAACACACCAATAATAATAGTTGCCCCTCGTGTAAAGAGGATGGCCGGCCCTAAGTCCACCTAGACGTGAATTTGTTTAAGATATAAAAGCTGTCTCCAAGACAACAACCACACCCTAAGTTAACGAGTTGCAGGACCCAGTGTCAAGGAAT